TTCGCTGTGTGGGTTTACACATAAATTGAATGCCAGCATAGCTATAAGTAAGTAGGTCGAAATCCTTAACATAGTGGTGTGGAGATGGTCAAATCCTGCGAAATATTTATGGTACAAGGAAAACCACAAGACGCTGCGAGCCTCGCTGGATGGCGAACGCAGGGAGGAGGGGAGAGTCCTGAGCGAAGGAGGAAGACGGAGCCACTCTACTCCATTGGGAAAGATGACACATTCGAGGGGAGGACACGCGGCTGCCAGATGAGTACACATGCACGTTCGCTGACGACCATCGAGTGACCCGACCTGCTCGTCATTGACCACGTCGCCCGCATCTGAGCTCCTTTGGGAAGAGAGACCTCTCGTAGAGTCCCGCTTCTCCTTCATGCTGGGTTTATGCATGATCAGGGAGAACATTGAATTGAGGAACGACATCATGCAAGCATTTCTCACCAGCTTCTCCGTCAATATGGAGTCCCTCAATGGCGGGATATACGACGACGGCACTGCGGAGTCTCTTTTCCTCGGTACGCTTACCGATGAATTTGAACGCGAGTTTGAGGTGGCAAACCGAGGAAGGGAGGGACTCCAGTGTAGCCATACGTCCGAAAACCCGCAGACATTGGGATAGAGATGGCGGTAGATACCGTTGAGGAGAGGACGAGAGGGTGCGAGGAGGAGGATGATCAGATGTGGTCGACCTGTGACAAGATTGGGGAGAAGGGTGGCGGCGGTGTGCGTGAACGAAACTTGAGTCGGCGTAGGAGTGGGGGGGAGGTGGCGAGAAAGGCGGCATCAGAAACAGGGAGAGTCGACTTAGTGTAGTGGGCACAGAAGAAGTCGGACGAACGTCGGGATGGCCGGAAGTGGTGTAGATGGTGGTGATTTGTCATCGTCATCAAGGAGTGATGGAAAGCGCAAGAAGACGACGTTAATCTGTCCATCCAGCCACATGAGAAGATTTTCCTGGTCTCGACTGGAGAGATGAGTGGTGGTGTACAACGTGGATATTAAGCGACGAGAGATGTAGAGAGCGGGTTATGAGATACAGCCTATGGCGGTGGTCATTAAAAAACACAGAGGGTGGGCGTTAGAGACGTGAGGTCCCCCCGTATGACAAGAAACACCCACAGCGCGTCATTTGGGCCAACTATCCGACATCTTGAAATCGCCGATAGAGAAAGTCATGAAAGAGTAGCACGATAGCGGCACCGACTAGCGTGTTAGGAATGGAAGGGTTGTGACGACTGCTTCACCGGGAAATAGGCAGGGAGAAGCAAGACCTGCACGCAATATTCATGGATGACACTTGCGTGCCACTCGATCGACAGGCGAAGTCCAGATGGCCATCGTTGACTCACTCGATGACACAGACACTTTGCTCTTCTCTTCATCATCCTTCATTAGGTTGATTATCGTCGTCTGTCTACGACAGACTAGGTGTGCGGCTGATACATTTAGATATTTTAGCTTCGTTTCCCCCACAAGGACTTCCTCATTGTCGTTGATGGTTATTGCAACCCTAGGAAAGAGACGGACAGATGAAAGGCCTCGATAGTAAAGAGAGCGACAATAAAAACGACCTGCCGTATACAGTGACGTGACCGGGCCGATGTAGCCATTGACATCTTCTATTTCTTCCGCCCTCTCTGCCCCTTCTTCCATATTTCACGTCGCTGAATATAATTCGGGGTGCGTGGTTCCATTTACACCTGAGAGTTGATAACAACGCACTATCTTTCCCCTTGAAACCACAGTTATCTTCCAATAATTGCATATACTGTCACATTCATGGTTTGCAACGGTTTTCCTTAGGACCACATCTCCCCGATGATATACATACAGGCTCTGAATAGCGCCTTGGGCTTGGATCGGTAACACGATTGTCAGATAACTAGGACTTCTATCTATAAGTATAGTTCGACCTCATGGCTTACTGGTACTTGACGTCCAGTTTTAATCGAATGGAAAGCATCAACGTCTGTCTTCCGCCTCGCTAATATAACTTTTCGACATGAGACTATCTCGAAAAAAGCATAGAGGCGTCCACTTTCTCGAGGTACACTTTCTCTAGGTACATTATTTCTGCCCTTATGATACTCGAAACTCACTGAGCATGCGACTCTAGTACGTCTGCTATACTTCTTGGTTCAGTACGCCCTGTATTAATGGTTATAAAGGTGGATCTGTTTTTTCGATTCGGATGATGCGAATACTTGTGGCCTAAACGTGTACGCTCGTTGCTTATGCTCATTAATTCACTGTTAGTTTCAATTCTTGATATTTATCTGACCCTGAATCACTTTCTCTTGTGGTGAAATCAATCCTCTCATTTTCCTCAGCATCACTTTCTTCATACCAAAAATACCGGGATTCCTTTAATATAATTCTGATTCAAATCCAGCACACTCTAGTTCCTTCCAGTGTAAATTCGCTGGTACCCCCCACATACATAACACTTCTTTTCGATACCATCAGACGCTAACTATATCTAGGTCAAATTATCCAAGGGACCATCAAGCATCCCGGAACAGAGAGTCTGGGTCGTGAGGTCTACGCCTCACGAATCTAAAGAGAAGCGGGGTGTACATATTATAGTTTCACTAATTGAAGCTTTGACCGTAATATGAAAATTTGTTATATCCTACAGGTCTCCTTCGTGATGATGAATTGTCCATCCTAAACGAGCTTGTATGGCCGATACCTTCTCCCAGCCTCTTTTGCAAAGTCAACGAGATTGTTACAAATTCCCAATGGACAACAGAAGAACATCAGCACCAGGTCAAAATATCAATCTCGTGAGTCGTTAGGCCATAATTTCTCCATCATTGCATTAGTAAACCACACATTACATGTGGCAAAGTAATCTAAACGATGTGCTTCAGACATACGATGATGGGTGTAACGATTATATTCCCTAGGCCGACATCCCAATGCAACGTTAATAGGGGGCTTGTAGTCTGTGCGGAATTAGCTATGTTGAAATTTGGACCAGCCTTGATGGCAGGGTCTCCCACTTTTAAAGATCTCTCGCAGTACCACGCACTATAAAAGGGAGCGAGCTCGTTTTCTGAGTCGCAGTCGACTGAAAAGTAGTAAACTGTCTAACGTTTAGACGACTGGGCTGAGATCGAGAAGATAGCCCGTGTGACGATGATGTAAGGGAATATCATCTACAATGCGTAAGGTTATAGGGCAGATATCTCCCGCTCATATTCGCCCTCAATCATATTCATGGCATCCAGAATGCATAAAAAATGTCTTTTTTGAATAGTTTCCCTGAACGAAATGGATTCTAAAATATATATAAGAACTAGCTACTGTATGATAAATGGTCTGATTAATGTCCCATGAACCAAGGACCGGTACAACCCCGGAAAAATCTTACGAAGATGTTTGAGGAATAGAACACTGCATTTGTGTACTTCTTCGGAAACGCATCTTTCTCCATTGTTAGAACGACCACTGGGCCGTACCATAAATTCTGTCGCTCAACAGAACCGGTGATGGCGACAATCCTGTCATTCACATTGTTAGGGTCTTGCAAGCTCAGCTGCATTTGGTTCTTGAGGTACCAAAGCTCAAATGGTGGGTCGTCCCCATGTGCAGCGACCGTTCGACAGGCTAGTTCACCTGGAGGAAGGAAAGCATCCAGCTTCGGTATACAGTCCAGTATCTCGCCGTCGGTTCCGTGTTGGAATACGAAGGTGACAATAATTGGTATGGTATAAGTGCCTAACACATTTATTTTGTGTGTGAGAATACCAGGACGAACTGAAGACGCACTGTTTTGGGGAAGTATGACACCTCGAATACTGTTGTGCCCTGGATGGTGATACATTATTTCCCGATCGATGATTGGACAATGATCATAATATCTGTGTTGGAGATGTGGGGCATCGGTGAAATGGTTTCGAAAGGACTGGATGCACGATTTTCAGTTGTTCGTTGGTGGGAAAATACTGGATGCGACGTACCGCGTAAATGCATATCTGGGAGCACCAGAATTGACCACACTGACATACAGCGGCGGGGTCGCTTTCGACGAACATTTCTTTGCAGCCGTGGCAGGTGAATAGCACATACATAATCGCCTGATATGTGGTAGTCCGGTGGTAGAGTCGATAAGGTGTGAATGATAGATAGTGTTTGTAATGTTGAGATTCGAAAAAGGCGGTTCGAGAGCGGGATCGTTGAGATGCCTTGTAGTAGACTGTTTAGTATTGAGAATCAACATGGGACTCTTAATTTATATAGGCCATCGAAAACGGTGCGACTCGATCAGAACAACAACAAACGCAAACTCAACACCTTGCCGGCGAAATAGGCGTGTATGCGAAATATTGACTCCTTTTTTGTCCTTGCCTTTAAGTGCGACCCGCAAAATTCCAGTGACAAACCTTGAATGGGCGCGTCATGTAATGTACCGTGGCGGTGACAGAAGATATCACATGACCACGGTATCGCGAAGTCAGTCATTTACATTTTCGGACTTTTGCACATTCACCGGAACCACGATGGTGATGGCTGATCGGCTGCTTTCTCTCGTGAGCGATCGTGATACATTCCATCTTATGATAAATGAATTATGAATCACTTCCACAGCAATGAGCTGGGAATGACTCATGCTTCTTTGCAGTTTTCGGTACTGTTCCTTTCCGATGTCGACGTATTACTTGAGTGATGCAAGGGAACGAACCACCTTATCATTCCATCGTACTCCGTCTCTGCGACAGTAGAATTTACATCCCATCGTCCTTACACTTGAATTTTTTGTTATCGCTCCTTGACAACGTTGCTCAACTGCCAAGTACATCTCCAGTGGGTTATTTTGTGCTCGTACGTACGAATTCCGTTTCATATGCCTGGAAAGCTAATCCATCTCTTCGTTTGTTTCAAGCCCATCAAGACCAGGCGTCGTTACGTCGGGCACTGCCGCAGGAAATCACTTAAGAGAGGACGCTCTGCAGTCGTACTCCTCTATCCTTCTTCCGACCACTATAATGCTCGCAAAGGCTCTCATACTTGTCGCCTCCGTTATCTCGAATGCTATTCCATCTGCTCGTGTTGCGTTGCACACTGTGAAGATGGTTAATCAGTCAGTACATCACCACCTTATGGATCTTACACTGTGCTGACTGTTGTATAGATATAGCACCAGAATTGTAAGTTTAGATTCGAGATTCAGCTCCAACTTTCTTATCACCCGGTCATCGTAGCTCACCCTAAGTCAGAATTTCACAGTTCTCTGGACCGGAACTGAAGAAACTGGCATGGGTCCCTTCGAATCGGCAATGGCGTGAGTTACTCTCCTTGTATCACTGATTAATTGGTTCTCATTTCCTACCACGCTCGACAATGACGACTGTGGTTTTAACCACGTGTACTGTACCATTGTGGAAATCACTCTGAAAAATCCTACGGTGCCCGGGGTTGACTGAAAGAGGTGTGAATCACAATGTTGTCCGGGAAAGTTGCGATTCGAAAGGGGAAGTTTGAGTGAGCAGGATCTTTCAGAGGGTTTGTAAAGTTTTTAGCGTTGAGAATCAAGGTATAACCCTGAATTTATATCCACCACCAAAGGAGTTTGAGGTATGACTGGGATGAATCCTGATCCTGTTTCAGACTGAGACATCGACACAGATCGTTCGAGCACGCGATGTCCAAATTACCTGCAGATGTGAATCAATATTAGTCTGATTTAAGATAGCAGCTTGAATTGACCTCGACGAAAGGGCGACAAATCTAGACGTCAGGGCATAACTATGACATCGAATGCCCATCGATTTAGCGTGGCACAGGCCAACCAGCTTAATCTCGCTGTTTTTTTCATACAGCCCTCATGTATCTGCCTTTGAGCTTGGCTTGATTCTCGTTGTCCCAGATGTAGATCTGTTAACGAGCGGTATATTTTCTGCCCCTGTGACCGCTACTGCCCACTCTTACTCCGACTCAAGATTCATCCATGCATACAGTTGACACTCTGCTCCCTAATCTCACTACCTTGCACTGCCCACCCCACCTGATCGTCCCCTGGCCGTTACATTTAGCAAAGTACATATAAACGACGTGCTCCAAACTTTCGATTCTGGGTCTTACGGGTATATTCCCTGGCCAGACATGCTGGTGAAATGTTAATACAGACATATAGTCTCCGCAGAATTAGTCAAGACGTTCAAGTTTTTGACCGGCGTCTGATTTTGCCACAATAGGGATCGACACCATAGAACGAGTCGCTCACGCTCAGAGATCTATGGCAGTCCCACGTATTGTGAAAGGGGGGAAGCTTCTTGGATTCTAGTCGCAGTTGAGTCCTGTATATCCTAATCTTCTCCAAGGTGGGAAACCGTCCAACGTTAAAACGATTGCATGGGCGAAATAACTGTGTATGCTAAATCTTGACTGTTTTTTTTTGGTCATCGCCTTTCAGTACTACCCCGCAAAATTCCAGTGACAAGCACTGAATCGGCGCGTCATATAGTGTACCATGGCAGTGACAGAAGATATCACACGGCCACAGGATCGACGTTCTTTCGTCTGCTGGAAGTGTAGAAGCGTCGTGCGCTTATCATATTGGTACATTACTGTGCTATGATGAAGGACGTCGCTCAGGTTAGCCCGCGGTGGGCGAAGAAACAATGGGGCCACGAAGCTGCGAGGATCATCACTATGCTTGATGCGCGATGGACTCCCTGGTTAGGATGGCTTGAGACTCAGTTGGGTCAGGAGCGTTAGATTCAGGTTTTTGATTTACTGCCGCCGATCGACGCTGGAGACGATGACTTCAGCGCACGTCGGCGACTTTGAGACAGGTGTTCATGGAGGCCCTGATGGCTGGTGATAAAATTTGTGCTGCAGAGCCCGGTACAGAAGCGGGGCGCGTGAAAGATGCAGCGCTGCCGCAAAAATAACTGAGGAAGGTAAACTTCATGGCAGTGCAGCGACTGTCCGTCAGTCCCAGCCAGAGCATCGAGAATCTATCTATGCTTGAGGGTTATGCTCCGTTACCACTCAGTACCACACTCTGAACCACACACGTAGTACGCGATCATGCTGAGCATCGTCGTGGAAAGGGCGGAAGATGAAATCCAGAGACAAGCCGTTTGCAAAGCCCTCCAAGATAGTGCACTGTTCGGTCAGTAACGATTGAAGATGGCTCTGAAACAGCAATGAGAAAATAGGGGGAGAAAGAGAAAGAGATGGGATTCCAGTTTTTTATGGTTCTCTGGCCTCCTTTTTTGTACCAATTACGGTGTCTCGTCCCTGGCCTATGTGCTCTTCGACATTGTCCATCAGCCAATCCAAGTATTCACGATAATCGTTGTGGATTTGACCCTCGACTACGACCGATACCAAGAATTTTAGTAAATGAGTGAAATGACATCCAATGCGAGACTTACCTTCTTTGCCCTCCAGATCCACTGTTCCCTCATTTGCTTCGGGAAATAATCCTCGCTCAACACTTCTTTCCACAAGACGACCTTTCGTTTACATCTTACTTGTGTTGTTGGGGGACAGCGCGTGCCGCGTTCGAGATCCCGTTCTCGAGTACACGATGACGCACTAAAGCGGAGCACCACGAACCTTTCTTTTTGCTATAATACCCAAAACTTTGTTCTCTCTTCGGCATTTGAGTTGACTTTGGCCTCTACGGACCTGTTGACCTCCGAGTCAATAACATCTGGCTGACCGTTCATGTCAGGAAGTCGGGTTTCCCACCCTCTCCCTGTCAGGACCAAAATGGTCCTCGGGAGCACTCTCATTGGACTGGGAGTTCGGCTCAAGTGCAGACCGTCGCAAAAAATGGCGTCAATGGCGTGGGAGCTGGTCGTCTTGTCCTCTCCAACGTGAACGCTCGATGGCATTACTTCTGAGTTCTAGCTTCTCTGTTATTCCTTGACCTCATCCTATGTAGACACTCAAACAAAGACAGTTTGCTTTGACGTTTTGTTCCTTGCCAACTGACGTCGACTTCAGCTCTGCAGTTCAAAATCGGTCACCGGTATTCCATTCTGCGAAGGCGTCGTGGTAGAATAGATACTCGTTCCATCGCAGCGTGGTTTGCGCTCCACTCCTGGATAGGCTTAATTCAAGCACCTATGATCCTTTTTATGTTCAACAGATAAGTTCTTTTCGATACCACATAGGAGTCAGGTCGGTTGATACGTGCAGTGCATGCCTGTTTCGGTTCGGCGTTTATGCTCTGTACTTATATTGATGACCTTGGATCCTCGTTATGCGAAGAGATGGATTTAGGTATTGGCAAAGTCCATATAAACGACGCGCTGCAGAGTTTAGATGCTGGGCGTCACGAGTATATTCCCTGTGCAGACATGCTGGTGCAGCGTTAATACGAGCTTCTAATATCCACCGAATTAGCCAACACTTTCAAGTTTTCGACCGGCCTCTGGTCTTGCGATAGTCGGGACACCAACATTGAACGAGTCGTTCAGGTTCAAAGATGTCTTGCAGTCCCACGCATTGATAATCTAAGGGAAATGTCGTCCACAACGAGTAACGCCATAGGCCAGATATATACCACTCATTTTCAATCTCAATCCTATTGGCGGCATAGAAGAATTCGTGAAAAACGGCTGCTTCAAACGGTTACTTTGAACGAATCAGTACCTAAGAATAACTAACCGCTATATGATAAATGCTCTGATTAATGTCCCACTAAAGAAACGAATGAGGGACCGGAATGAGTCATGAAAAATCTTCTGAAAACGTCCAAGTGATGCCATTCTACATTTGTGTACTTCATCCAATATGCATCTCTGAGGACTATTAAAGCGATGACTGGGCCGTACCATAATTGCGGTAGCTCTTGGCAACCGGTAAGGCTGACAATCATGCGATTCATAGAATTGGGATCCTCCAGCCCCATCTGCATTTGGTTCTTGTGGCACCAAAGCTCAAAAGGCGGGTCGTCCCCTCGTGCACCAACTCTTCGACAGGCGAGCTTATCCCGAGGAATGAATTGGTCCAGCTGCGGTATACAGTCCAGTATCTTGCCGTTGGTCTCCTGTAAGGATAGGAACGTGAAAGGAACTTCTATAGGAGCAGTGCCTAACGCCTTTATTTTCAGTTTGAAAATACGAGGAATGAGGTGAAGACGCACGGTCTTGGGGAAATATGAGTCCTCGAATACCGTCGTTCCATGGATCGTGATATACTATTTCCCGGTCGAGGTTTGGATAATAATCGAGAAACCCGTGTGCTACAAGTGGGGCGTCGATGATATGCTTTTGGTAGTACTGGACTCACGATTTTCGGTTCTTCATTCGTAGGAAAATATTCGAAGCCACGTACCACTTCTAGGCATCTTTGCAGGCACCAGAATGCACCACACTCACATACAGCGCGGGGTGCCAAGGTGACGTCTGTTGATCCGCAGCCGTAGCAGAATAATAGCATAGAAATAGACATAATTTCGTGATATGCAGTAATATCGTGGTGGAATCGATAAGGTGCGAATGATAGTGTCCGTAATGTTGAGATTCGAAAAAGGTGGTGACATGCCCTCTCCATGTTCAGGCATGTAAAATTGCGAAAATTGCAAATACATGGACTGCATTCCAGTCCAGTAAGCATATAACAGAAAATAGGACTAGAGCACACAGAAACCTAGCTATCATAATGCTAAACTGAAGTAACAATAAGCAGAGTGCATGGCCTAGTAACAGACTAATACCAGAGGGGTTAGGCTGCATGTGAGGTCTCAGCATTTGGCCCTAAATGTGCCAATACTATCATGAGAGGATATGCTAAAAATAAAAAGAATATGATCGAAACATGATCGGCAATTCTGATCCCATTGATCAATGACGCACTGATGGAACATGCTTGAGAACAGAGATCCAGGACCCTAAGAAAGGTATCTGAATAACTGGGTGCTGAACAGAGAGACGCAATAATGGCAACAAGGAGATAAGTAGAGGAATATTATGCTCAGAGATGAATAGCACATGTGCTGCTCAGAGACTCGCACACATACTAATGGTGCTTTAGCGCGCTTAACACAGCGAGGGACTCCGCATCATACCACGGTATGACATATACTATATTGGGAAAGTTAATTAATATATGCCAGGCCAGAAGCGGTGCGTTTCATGTGCCAGAGAGAATGTTGAGACACTAGAGAAGAGAACATAACTATTGTGGCTGACTCCAGACATGGGAGATAACCCCGGGGGTCCAGAACAGTTTACCGCTGTCAGAAATGTCACCGGGGAGATAAGAAAGCGAGTAGACCTGGCGAGGCCAGCTAGCCGATGTCAGCTAGTAAAGGAACAGCGGGCACAGTCATCGCCC